TGACGAGTTAGTTAGATTTGAATAATAGTTTAGCTGTAGTATGTATTATGCTGCTTGAATGAAAATGTACTTTTATCTTCATTTGATTAATAAACTAATGATTTAGCCTGGCTTTGGGTATACAAAAAAAAAAAAAGATTTTAAAAAGAATTAAAATATTGATAAAGAAAAAATACAATTTATTTTATTGCTAAAAAGTCTTTATAGATATTTATTTTAAAAATAAAAACATTTTTAATATTTACAATTAATTTTTTTTAAAAAAAATTTTTTTTGTAATTGATAGTAAAAATATTATTTAACTTTTTTTAATTACTGAAAGTCTAGTTTTTTGATTAAAGAAATTTATAAACAAAAAAAAATATAGTTATAATTCATAAAAATATTCTTTAAAAATGTAATAAGATTTTATTAATAAAGAAATTAAAAAGCTTTTGATAAATATATTTTTTTAAAAATTAAAGTATAAAAAAAATTGTTTTTTTTTATTACAAATATAAACTAATTATTGTTTATACAGTATACTAATTATAATATAATTCGGTGATCAATTTTATCATGTGACCAAAATACACATGTATAGTAATACATGTCACATGACAAATTCCGAGTGCCTTGTAAATTACAGTTTCGCGAAATGGAACAACGTTGGAATAAAGCGTTGCAAGAATTAAACGGAAATGAGACAACTTTGGAAGGGTTGATAAACGTTACAAAAGTATGTGGCGTCTTTCTATCACATGGTTAATCCTTACCCCGAGAAAGAAAAAAAAAGGGGATGATACTTATTTTTATCTCTTAGGCGTGGTCTGTTGTTACGAGTTGGCTGGATCCCGGGCGTGCTATTGTTCAAGAAAAAGAAGGTGTGCGTTATTTATGGTATAATGGTCAATGTTTTATAAAACAACACGTCTAATAAGTCGAATTTAATTTTACAGTACCTTCAGAAGTTAACAGCTGCTTTGAACTACTTCGTCAAACACCTTTGGCAAGGCGAATAGTGGAATGGTATCTTGGTATTTATTTATCTGATACATTTTAAATTTGTTTCCATGGAAATATTATTTGATTTGATGATTCTGCAGTTGTGGTGCGCCAAGAAGTTTCGGAAAAATTTGATGCGAGACTAAAAAAGTGGCGCGACGAGTGGTTGGCACGTAATTATGAAGCATTCTCAATTTAATTATTCTCGGTTTCATTTTGATTAAATTAATCGTTTTAAAAATAAACTTCGTTTTAAAGAAATTACGCGACGATGACGAGCATATGCAAAACACAGAAAAAGATCAAGAGTTAGAAGAATGGATTAACAAGTCTTACATGGAGATTATCCATGATGTTTATATAGATTACAAGAAATGCGAAAAATCGTTCTTGCTTATGAATGCCAGGTTACGTTGATGATATATTCTTTACTTTTGTTATTGCTCGTAAACTCACTGTTTACTCGAAATATAGTGCTGACACTATGCGACAATTTCGAAATCACTATCATACAAACATCTATTCATTGCTAAGTGGAAAATCTCAACCGTACTCGGCCATTCCATCATTATTCAAGGAAATGTCTAAAGTACTTTATCGCTACCATTTCCGTAAATTCGAATCTTTATTGGATTTAGATCAGTCAGCCTCAGGATTATTAATTAGTCGAATAAATAAACATTTCGGCGAGAAATTGGAACCCGAATTGTTCGTATGGAAAACCACTGACGATATAAGTGCTATCTTTGCTAAACAAGAAAATGAATTTTATAAAAGTGAGGACAATTCTTCGGCGATGGACCTTGATGATATTGAGGAATTTAATGTAAAATCAGATTTATCTCAAGAAACAGTCGATCCGAGTTTAATTGAGGAGATAGACAATAAACTTAAAGAATTTTCTAAGTTATATGAAGAGATGCATGCTCTGGATTTGATACATCGCACTAAAGATAAAATAGAAGAAATGTTGTGTGAGCAGATAGAGCTGAAAATTTTACGTACCTGCAAAGGTATCTTTAATAAGTCAGTACTTCGTCATTCATCAAAATGGTTATATTCTGTCGTGTATCCTTGGCTGCAAACGGTAATTTCTTCTAGTGCGCTTATACCGTTTGTTTATGAGGGTAGGTTATCGATTTTTCTGTAAGTAAAACAAAAAAAATCTGATTCAATCTCACTATCATTATTTACTTTCAAGAAAACGATCTTGCAATCTGGATGAAACGATTTAATTATCATTTTTGTATGGCATTCAGTGACTCAAGGTTTTTTTCTTACACCTATAAGCTCTATTTTGATGATTATTTTGGCTTCCTAATAACAATGATCCTTGGTGATATATATTTCATAGAATTTCGGAACTTTTTGACGTGATAGTGGACTTTCCCGATTCTAAAGCCACAATCGACGATTTGATAGTAAGTTATAATAAATTATGACGTCAATTTCAGTTGTATACCAATCTTAATTATTTTGGGTTTAAATTTAAAAGATATGTATGAAAAGGCTAGACACGGAATACAGGAATCGTCTTATAAAATCCTTGCAAAAAGCGTGAGCTTAATTTCCATCACTTATGTGCTTACTGTCTCTTACATCTAGCTTAGCATCATGAAAATTTTCATGTTAGATTTAGGAAAAGATTACTCATTCCTGGTGCTAGCACGAATGATATAATAAATACCTACATATCAACTATCAAATGTCTCAGATTATTGGATCCTTCTGGTGTGTTGCTAGAAAAAATAACGGGCCCCATTCGAAAATATTTGCGGTATTTATTAATTAGAAAAAGAAAAGAAAAAAATTTTTTTCTCTTTTTTCCTTTCTTTTTTAGCAATTTGTTCCTTGACTTATTTCTGATACGATAGGACGCGTTCAGACTCTACACGGTGCCTGGTGACGTATTGGATGGACGATGAGAATAATAACGAATTAGTCGAGGAGCTTGGACGTACCGATAATCCCGTAGAAGACAATTTTAACACAGAATCAAATATATCTGATGATAATTGGATGCCTGACCCGATGGATGCCGGGCCTGGTTTGTCTTCACTTAAATATCTTAGAACATGCATGATTAAGTCACTTATATTCACGTAAATATTTAGATTACAAATCATCAATTTATCGTTCGGCCGACATCATCAGCTTGCTTATAAGCTTATTCGATAACACAGAACTTATAACTAATGAAATTCAAAATCAAATGGCAACACTCTTATTATCGAAAGTGGATTACGACACCGGAAGAGAGGTTTATTTATTTATTTATTTATCAATTACATGCGTATGCGTTAACACCCCTCTTTTCTAGCAAACTAAGCTAGAATTATTTAAACTACGATTCGGCGAATCAAAAATGTCTGCTACGGAAGTCATGATTAAAGATATCGCAGATTCGAAAAGAATGGATGCCAACATATATAATGAAGGATCTATATCAAAGGCGGCAGGATTTGAACGCGGCGCGAGTGAGGTTAGGTTTTACTATTATCAATAACTCGAAAACGCATTAAATGCCCTTCTGTTGTAGGCGATTTTGCATGCATCGATTATTTCCAAGTTATTTTGGCCGCCCTTGAAAACGGAAGAGTTTAACGTTCCTGATCCTATTTTAAAGTATTTTTTTTTTTTTTTTTTTTTTTTTTTTTTTTGCGAAACATTTTTTATTTATATGATTATCTTACAACTTTTGATCTGATGTATATGTCAGAGATATGCAGAAGTACAAT